CTGTCTTGGGCTGCATATAAAATATAGAATACAGTTAATGTATATAAATCATATAACAATTTTAAAAGTTTATCACCTCACGGAGCTGCATTGCTAGCTCTCCAGGGCTGCATATTTCAGAAGGAGAGGAAGCAATTGAGGTAAACTAATTCTGTATGTGACCAAGAGCCACATTTCATTCATGAGGATTTATAATGTCCCCATGAATGAAATGTGGCTCTTGGCCACATACAGAATTAGTTTACCCCAATTGCTTCCTCTCCTTCTGAAACATTATAATCCAATGTGCAGGCTACATTTAAAACTGTCAGATTTATGTTTCTATATACTGTTCTAAAAACAGGAAATGGGAGTTTTAAGAAAAAGGACAAACTATACTAAAGGATAAATATAATTTTTCCCATAAAGAAAAAAATGGAGGGGTGGAGGAGTTTATTTTAGAATTACTGATCAATAAGATTAAGTCAGAACACAGCCATATATATTAAACATTATGTCAATTTTTCCTAACCTGGTGTCCCTTCCAGTTACACTATACTTCATCATTCAAAAATTGAATTATTATCTCCTTTAGCAATATGGGTAAGATTCAGGTTGAAGCCTGTATTCACACCACGCCATAACACTGTGCTAAAATGTGATCACTAATCTGTACAATGAATCCAAGGAGTATTATAAGTTTATGGTTTAATGGGTTATGCAATCCCATGGAATTGAATTATTTCATATTGTATGAATACAAGGTACAATATATTTCAGATGCTGCAGCTTTACATCACGTATTTTACTTAAAAAAACATCTTTAGTATTTAATGCAAAACAGTGATTTAAGAAAAGAGTAGCCCTGAAATTACTGGACTACAGTAATTTGTTCTTCAGGCACTTTACTGCAGTGCATCTTTCCTGTTATACAAGTTCTCTGCTTATAGCCTGGACAGCAATATTTAATGAGAGAAAATGTAATGTTAGACGTTTGGGCTTTATATTATATTAAAAGAACTGGATTTGCAAGAAAATGTGGCTTGGAATGCTACTTTGCTGATCCTAGACAGTCAATCGTATTATCTTTTATGAGTTCATAAACTGCCAAGGGTACAAAATGAAAAATCCATTTTTCCCATCTCCACATCCCCAAGCTTGTTCTTAACTATTGCAAAGACTCTATAAAATTATTTGCATATAGCTTATGTTTTAAAAACATCTTATATACCTCTTGTTTTTCCATTTCCTTACTTTTTCTTTCAGCATTCTTCACCTGAGGGAATGATGCAGGAAAGATATATACTTAATTTTCCTCAAATGAAAGTTATTCTTTCAGCTCAGCACCTTCTAATGACTTACAGAGACATGAAGGATAGGACAGGATAGTGGAATTTCTTCTCTAAAAGGCAGCTGGAAAAGGAATTACTCCAAGCAGAATGGTTATAATAAAGTGAGATTTAGTGGCTATGTGTTTTATATTAGTTAATAACATCTTCTCCAAAATATATTATCCCCAAAATTCAAATTTCCTAGCAATTTTCTTTCTCTTGAAATTTGTAAGATGACATGACTTGCTTTATTTGAACTATTTGAATTTCATTAATCCAGTGAAGTTTATTTCATTCACTCAACTTGCCTGTAGAATTTTATGACATATATAATTTTCAAAGAAAATATTGAAGCATTTGATTTACAACATTCCTAAAAACAATATAAAGGAACACAAATATTTGTACGTTCTTCCCTCTTTTCCGATTAAGAAAAAGAACCAATACAGACATTGCTATCAGAGCAATTCCACAAAAGTTTATTCTAAAGCCTTTGTATTCAACAACTCAAAAATAATTGTAGTCGCATGGTAACATAAAACTTATTGCAATTGTTATTTATCTTATAACATTCTTTATAAGTTTATTTTTCACTACCACATAGTTTCTATTACCAATTGCCACATTTTTATTTTTAATTTTTTTTGTAAATAAAGTATTTGTTTTATTTTAGAAATGTTTAAGACTAAGTTAATCCACTTGTAGTATCTTTTGTCTGATAATGTATGTTATGTGAATATAACCATTTGTAAACAATAATATCCCAACTAATTGTGGCTTATTTAACAATCCACTAAAAACCTGTGACTTACTGTTATTTTGATGGACCTAGATTAATAATGGTATAGGAATGTTGAGATCTTTCTGTGATTATCAGATAATGTTTTAAAGCTTTCTAAATTAAAACCCTGAATAAATCATATAAATGAAATACAGGTAATCCTCAACTTACAACCACAACTGAGCCCAAAATTTTTCTTGCTAAGCAAGACAGTTTTTAAATGAGTTTTGCCCTATTTTATAATCTTTCTTGCTGTAATTGTTAAGCTAATCATTGCAGTTGTTAAATTAATAACATAGATGTTAAGTAAATTTGGTTTCTCATTGATTTTGCTTGTCAAAAGGTCCCAAAATGTGATCACATGAACCCGCAATCATCATAAATATGAATCAGTTGCCAAGTGTCTGAATTTTGATCACGTGACTGGGGGATGCTGTGACAAATGATCATAATTCACTTTTTTTTAATGCTGTTATCATTTTCAGTCACTAACAGTCACTAAATGAACTGTTGTATGTCAAGGACTGTCTGTAATGCATCTTATTTATCAATGTTTGGCAATCATTCTGATACAGAGCATAATATATTTGATGTGTCTCATTATAAATTTTTGACAGTAGAATGCTTTGTAAGTACAACATTAAATAGGTAATATTTAATATATATATATAAAATAGGTAACGGGGCTTGTCAACAATTCTGTTTACCTTCCACAGTAACACTGACATGTTTTGAAAGTATTAACAAGAATATAAACAACATGCACTGTGAAATGCAAGCATAAATATTCCACGTAGTTACATTTTTTTAAAAAGGGAGAATTTTCTTTGATCATTACAGAAGTGCTGGCTATAAACTGAAACTCACAACATAAATTCAGCCTAATTAGAATGCCTGCAGTGTTCTTCCATATTTAATTTTAATAGTCTGCCTATGCAAAAATAATCACTTGAACACATTCAGACTTTTTTCACCCTACTTGTTTGCATGGGGATTTCCAGAGTTTCCATATATTTTAAAATCTTAGTCTAATATGGAAGTTAGTAATATAATAGCTAAAAGAAAGAAGACAAAAGGGATACAGTAATTATTTCAAGTTTTATAGACCAGTGCTAAGAGGAATTCTTTTTGTTATTCACTGCATTGGTACAAAAACCTGAACAGAAGGGACAGTCCCTCATCTGAAAACTCTGTGCCCTAATCCCAGACATGGAGACGAATCATAAAAACAATTACCTGTGCTTGTGATGTAGAGCTATTATGTTCTCTAACCAATTAATATAAGAATGTTAATTTAACATGTGTATTAGAATTTAAGAATTCATTAATTAATGTTTAAGATTATGAGGGGCCAATATTAATCAGATATTAACTACAATAAATTCTCCTATTATTCTCCATACAATAGAGTATAAAAATCATACATCATATTCAGTTTATCCCCCAATTTGAAGACTTATTAGTTCTTGCTGTTTCATTCACTAGGTGTCCATTTTAAAATTAGGATCTTTATGATATGCAGCATGTATCACATTTCTTATGTAGTGTTTGATTGACAAAAAAAGACATAATCTGTTTATTGACAGAATGATTTCATGTTGAGTTGGCATCGGTTTAGGATGTTGACATGACTTTTAAAAGTATGTTTATAATGACTACTATAGTCAGATGCTAACCCAAGCAGATCTAAGTAAATATAGTATTTTATTACTCACATACATGAAGAGAAAATTATACATAATTGCTGAACCTGTCTGGCATATAATCCATAAGTACACTCTTGGTAGAGGAATTTAACAAGTCATATTTTATTTCCTGTATTCATTCTCAGCTTGCTTTCCATATTCTAGTTTCAATATACAATTACTGATTAGAATATGATATTCTAGATATTAGAACATGAACATAAATTTCTCACATGAAATACTACACATAAGTATAAGATCAGGTTGCTACATCCATAGAATGTGCATTCAAAAGTATCAACAACCTGATTTGTATGGATGTAATACAACACACATACACACACACAGCCAGTAGTCATTAAAACCTCTGCTAACAGCATGCCGGGACTCTGACAGCTGCTCTCTTTGTTTTGCTTTGCAGTGCCCTCCCCCACCATCATGCTGACCTATATGAGCAGCTTTGCATCGCTTTCTTTTCCAGGCTTTCATCAAGTAGGAAGCAAAGAAAATTCTAGCTTGAGCAAGAAGCCCAAGCAATGCTGGTAAACACAGATACAGGCTTAGCTTACTGAAATCAACTATAGCCATCCATATTGTGGTCCTTGGAAATAACATTGCAATTGCACTTTTTTTAAGGTCCTTTATTCCAAAATGCAATCTGTACAAATCCTTTCCTCAGGTCACCCTGCAGACTCAAAAGCGTTTGCCTATATATCAGCCATAATGCAGCATTGGGGGAGGGGAGTGTTGTCAAAATGGTGAAATCTTCCTTTTTTATACGTGTAAATAAAAAAGAGGCGCGTTATTGTAGGGAGGAGGAAGGGATGAAGAAGAAAGGCTAAGCGGCAAATTTTAAGTACAAGCTGTATAACCAGAAGAAATTTTGTGCTGTAAGAAAAGAGGGAGGAGAGGGAAGGGGAGGGAAATTTCACTAACTGAGGCAATCCATATTCCTTTTTTTAAATTAAAAAAAAATAGCAACAAGAGTTTAAACGGATAAAGAAATGTTGATGGACCGCGGGCTGAAGGTAGGATGAGATTCCCCCCTTAGATGCTACTGACCAACCGGGTCCAGCAGCAAAATCAAGATACGGGAGCAAATGGAGGAAACGGGGCGAGAGGGAGGGAAAACGGGTCCTCGAAAACAACCCAACCCAACCCAACCCCATCAAAGCCGACCAGGGAAGCGGCCGGGCTGAGCCCTAAGACCGGCGCCATCCTTACCTGCTCCGAGCGGGCTCCGAGCGGCGCCGCTTCCATTCAAAGTGACGGTCCCATCCCTCCAGATCCGGATGTCGGCAGGGCTCTCCACCCGGCGGCTCAGGCTCTCTCCGCGGCGACCCCCGGCGCGGAGGGAACCGCAGCACTGGTAGCAAACGGCCCACGCCTGCTCCTCGTTGATGGGCTGGTTGTAGAGCTTGAGGATCTCTTCCAGCGAGAGGGCTTCCCGCAGCATCGCAGCCGCCTGGCCTCCGCCGTAGCCCTCGTCTTCTCGGCGGCTAGAGGTGCCGGACGAAGGCTCCTCGTCGCCCGCAGCCCCGGCGTAAGCCATTCCCTTTGCTGGAGAAGAAACCCCCGGCCGCGAGCTTCTCTATCCGTCGCCCCTCGCCTCAGCTGCTGCCCGCTGCCTTCATCTTCGCCCCAAACTCCTCCTTCCCCGCCAAAGCAGCCACCGCAGCCGAGCGCGTGAGCGGTGCAGGACAGCCCAATCCCACGGGGAGGAGAATCCAACCGGGAAGAATTGCGGACCGCCGGCCGAGTCACCCGCTTTGAGGGCGGAGACTGTGGAAGGCGGGATTCACTTCATAGCAACCCAATGGCGTTCGCTGCCACCGACCGTTTTCTCCAGTTCGGCCGCCTCCGGTTAGCGCGGAAGATGGGGCAAAAGAAGGGCCTGTATTATCCTGCGCGCGGGAGGATGGTACGGTCCTCGACTTCACGACCGTTGGTTTGGTGACCCTTCAAAGTTACAACGGCACTGAAAAATGGGACTTAGGACCGTTTTTCACCCTTATGACTTTGCAGCCGGTCCCCCCCCCCCCCAATGATCATGGGATCAAAATTTAGATGCTTGGCAACTGGTTCATGTTTATGACCTTAGCTGTGTCCCAATGTCATGCAATCCCCTTTTGCCACCTTCTGGCAAGCAAAGCCAATGGGAAAGCCAGGTTCACTTAACTTATTACTAACTTATCAACTGCAGTGATTCATTTAACAATTGTGGCAAGAAAAGTCATAAAATGGGGCAAAAAATCTCATATAACAAAATTCTCACTTAGCAACATAAATGTTGAGCTCAGTTGTGGTTGTAAGTTGAGGATTACCTGTATTACCTGTCCATATCAATGTCTTGTGGCAAGAAAACCCGAGCACACATCAAAGCCTTCCCCACTGAGATTTCAGAAAGAAGTCTGCCTTATCGCTTAGACTTCATTCCTCAATTAAGAAGAGTCTGCAATTCTTTTCCTACCAAGCGCACAAGATCCTGATGTATGTTTTGTTCTACTATACAGTACTGCCTTCTTGTATCTTCTTATGGCTTTTCCAACACATCTTTGTGGGTTTGTATGAGACACTGAATCATAAAATGACTGGAATTCTATTGGCACAATTCACATCAATTCACATCAAATGTAGTTTAGGTTTGTGTTTTGTCTAAGCACAGCAGACCCTGACAATTACCCAAAGCCTTTGAACTAGCGTCAGTCTGAGTAAACAATAATATACACTACTCACTATGAGTACCATAAAAACAGATGCATAAGGAAACAGAGATAAACAATGCCACTCAGGACTGGAGTTCTGGAGTTCTGTTGTTTAGGGTTAGGGATGCATTAGTTCAAGTAATATTGTATAATTCTTATCAAGAACTAGGATAGAAACAGGTGCAAAATGAGAAATGGGTGACTTTTAATAAATATTTATGTTATGCTTAGCCTCCTTCACACAATATGTTAAGCTAAGGCTACCCTAGAGCCAAACTAATAAAGTGGAACTTCACCTAATATTAGACATAAATGAATTTATTTCAACCTACATTCACTATGTTACCCAGTTCAGATAGAAAAGTTTACTCTGCACAGACTTAGATACATTATTATCCTCAACATGTATATGCTCTACTCAGGCAAAATATGATATAACATTATCTTGGTGTTTATTCTAAACATACTAGTATATGGAAGTGACCTTGGGAGATAGGAGGCTGCGGGTCCTTTTCCTATCTCTTCAAGATTATTCCCATATATCGTCACAGTTAATGGTGACATGAATTTTCTTTATGACCATTTGTCTGTAAACTGTTTCTTCAGAACCTCCAGTGGTGTGCTATCACCATTGAGTTCAACCACCTTTCTGCTACTGGTCCTCTTCTTGTCTTTTTTTTCAGCATTAGAATAGAATAGAATAGAATAGAATTCTTTATTGGCCAAGTGTGATTGGACACACAAGGAATTTGTCTTTGGTGCATATGCTCTCCGTGTACATAAAAAGACAAGATGCATTCATCAAGAATCATAAGGTACAACACTTAATGATAGTCATAGGGTACAAATAAGCAATCAGGAAACAATATCAATATAAATCATAAGGATACAAGAAACAAAGTTACAGACATGCAGTCATAAGTGGGAGGAGATGGGTGATAGGAATGATGAGAAGACTAATAGTAATAGTAATGCAGCCTTAGTGAATAGTTTGACAGTGGTGAGGGAATTATTTGTTTAGCAGATTATTTAATTACAGATTTTTCCAGAGTTTGTCTTCACATGATGTATCCAAAGTACAGGTAGTCATCGACTTACAACCACAATTTAGCCAAAATTTCTGTTGCTAAGTGAAGCAGTTAAGTAGGTTTTGCTCCATTTCACAAATTTTCTGGCCACAGTTGTGAAATGAATTACCACAGTTGTTAAATTAGTAACACAGTTGTTAAGTGAATCTGGCTTTTCCAAAGATAGCAAAGGGGGATTCCATGATCTCGGGACCATCATAAATATGAACCAGTTGCCAAGCATCTGAATATTGATCATGTGACCATAGGGATGCCACAATTGTTGTAAGTGTGAAAAATTTTATGTCACTGTTTTCAGAGCTGTTGCATATTTCTTAACTGCTAGTTAGTTTATATTGATAATTGATCCGAAAGGACAAAAGTTAACCCACTCTTTCAATATCTTCACCGTCAATTCTAAAGCTGGTTACTATACCTGTTGTCATTAATTTGTCTTTGTATTTAATCTTTCTCCCATAGTTTTCACTGTATTCATTGACTTTCATTACTAGAGCTTTCAGATAATTTCCATATTCATCAGCATGGTGAAGTTATTGATGATTCCTCCTCCAATTTAAAAAAAACATGTTTTCCTAATTCAGCTTCCCTCAATATATTCTCCATAGATGTTGAATAAGTAATGTGAAATATAAACCTTGTTTCACTCCTTTAGGAGCCAGTGTTTTTGCCATATTCTTGAATTCTTATTTTTTCAAGCTCTTTCTACAGCTTGACATTATTGTGCAATCAATGAAGCATATACTAATTTCTTTTTGGTATTCTATGGTTTTGGTATTTATTGTGGTGTGGTATTTCTTTTATTTCATGTTGGTATGTAGAGTAACTTCTTCCAATCTGTTGGCTACTGCACTGTTCTCCAGATTTGCTGGTACAGCTTGATGAGACCTTTACTGATTCTTCTTCTGTTGCTTGCCATATTTCTGTAAATATTAATCCCCATAGCTTTCTGACTTGATAATAACTGAAATGCTAATTTAATTTCATTTTCTTGTCCTAGAAGTTTTGTAAGCAGGGATATCTTCTAAGATATATTGGATTTCTATATTGCACAGATATTCAGTATACTACTTTCATCTTTGATTTTTTTGAAATCCGTTACTATCTGTCCATTGGTGTCCTCTGGTATACCAGTTTGAAGTGGAATGCCCTCCTAATTTTAGAGATCTTTTAGAAGACTTGTTTCTTTGATGTTTTTGCAGATGTTGCTGTACTACTGCTTCTTCTCTCTTGTAAAAGCTCTCTGAAATAGTTAAGATCCTTCTTCAGATCTTTGTCTTTCTGGGGTTTGGTTTGTCTTCTTGGAAATTTTCATGGTTTGTTCTGACATCCAGTTTGATATCTTGTTTCTTTTTACATGAATATCTAATGATTTCTTTAAGTTTATTTTGTAGTTCCTCTGGTGAAGTTCCAGATTTGAAAGTGATTTCTGATATTCTTCTTGAAAATGGTGGATGTTCAAGATGATATTGTGGAAACCTCTTAGTATGTCTTCTGCTTCAGCTTAATTGAGAACTTGGACATGATCTGTTCCACAGTCAACACCAGCCATTTCTTTGCTGTCATAATTGTTGTCTTCCAACTCTTTTTATCAGTAATGTATCATTGTGCAAGAAATCACACAGGGGGCGGGGGAAGATTGTGGGAAGACAAAAGTCTTCCTTTAATCCTAACCCCAATCAAACAGGTAATTACATATTTTAATCAAATGATTTTTAAATGATTTCTTTTAGAATGGAATGTGTTATCAGCATCTGAAAAATAACTGAGATACCAGCAAAATCCATCTTTGAATAAGATTACATATACACATATTAAGACATAATTCTTGAATAAATTACAATTGGCTAAATGTTTGCATTTTGATTCACATATTTAAGGAAAACCAAAACACCTTGTAGCTTTTTTACGTAACCTCAGGACAGAAGGATGCAGCATCACAGGAGACCTCCCCTATGGTGCCCCTTCCAAAAATCATAAAGGCCAACAGGAAAGAAATGGACTTGCTGTTGCAAATCAGCAAAATTGGAAGCCTACAAATTCCTGAAGTTTTGTCTAGACTTAGTATCCTTGAGGAAAAACCTATTCCATGATGCAAACCTGGATTTTTTTTTCTTATTATATGAACTAGGATGTAGTGTATCATATGAATTCAGCCATTAGAGTTTATTTACTCAAATAATTATCTCAATGTGAAGACAAGGCCACGTTAAAATCAGAATTAAAATACTTAAGTATGATGCTAATAGTTCATTTAGATATCGAGATTTTCTTTACTCCCAGAATTACCCCAGAATATATATGTATATGTGCTAATCCATTACTGTGCAATACAAGTAGGTGTTTGTGTTCTGCTGACAGTGATTTCATTAATATATTTTTTCTGTTTTCCTTTTGCTGTTTCTTATTGGTTTACATGTTTTATTCATTTTAAAAAGTCTAATTTGTTCATGTGATATGTGTGAAAGCTGCAGCCTAATAGTTGCTGAACTTTGATTTTAAAAAATGTTGATTTCTGCTGACTTTCCTGACACACCCAAGTTAATTTCTGGGCTACAGTTCAGAAGTGGTTTGCTGCTGCCTTTTAGGATGTTTTTTTCCCTTCCCAATTTAGCCTACAGCCTTGGTTAATTCCTGGCATGGGCAGTTAAGCAAGATTTCTACAAACCCAACAGGAAATCATATTGGGCTAGAAGGAACCTTGGCATGAGTTTAATGAGGCTGCTTTAGACAGACGGATACAGTCCATGTATGCTTGTGTTGTGCTTCAAAGATTTAGTGAGCCTTAGAAGTGGAATTTGTGCTTTAAACAACAGATTTCCTGAGGTTTCACCGGCAACTGGGGCTGGCCTATTTAGAGGCAAGATGGTCTGCTATGCAGATGATAGGCAACTGAACAGGAACTGACTGGACTCCTATTTTTATAAGC